GTAAAGTGTTCGCGGCCAGTCATTGCAGAATTGGCAGAAGTTTCAACAATTTGTTCTGCAGCGCCTGCGGGTGCGCCGCCAATGTTGACCCCCCCTCCCCAGCTGGATGCGCCTTGTCGGCTGCCTATCCCCAGGCAGGGACAGGAGAACATACATGGGCAGGATGAGCCGTGGGCTATTCTGCCTGGCTGCGGAGGGCCAGCAGCTGCGATCGTGGAAGCGGAGGCCCCCCGAATCGGGCGAAAACATGGCTGGTCGTTGTTGCCCGCCGGTTTTCCTGTGCCAAAACGCGCGGTCACCGCTCTCCCATGGTGGTGGCAGGGGGTTCGGGAGGCATCGCCGCTACAGTCACCTCGCAAGTCGCGCGTGTGTGCAAGGTTCAGGAGGGAAACAAAACACACAGAGACACAATTAGTCGGCGATTCCCTAGAACAGATGGGAAAAGTATGAGAGGTGCGGGGAAGACAAAACCCCCAGAAAGTATAGGAAACTATAACGAATCCTGTTATTTGCTTGTATCTATCTGTGTGTCCCAGGGCCCCTTCAGTTGGGCGCGGCGGCTGCGCCCTCGAGAGGTGCCCCCGCCACCGCTGCTGCTGCGGTCGAGCTCGTCGGCTTCGTCCAGGGCGCAGGGCAGACCCTGAGACATGTGGCCGGATCTCTCCGCAGGAGGATCGACTAGCCGTAAGAGTGACCCTTCGCCGGAGTAACCCTTGGTGCGGGCACAAATGGGCCCCCAGATGGCTGAGAACGAAGCAGCGGCAGCTGCTTGCGCGTCCAGGCTTGGTCCCCCCGCGGCCCCCGAAAAACGCGCGCACCAAAGGTCACTCTTACCCAGGATCACTCTTACGTATAGCCGAGAGGAGGACGAGAGCCCGCTGATAGCGGCTGCTCGGCCCTCGAGGGAGGGCGATCCGGACTAAGTTTTTGATGGGTGGGTCCCGCCTTCGGCCTCTCTGGCTGGCTGGGCTTCACTTTTTATCGTTGCAACCCCTTCCTTCTACCCCTGTGGTTTTCGTGGTTTGCCTACTGCCACGGGTAGTATTGCAACGGCTGTTGACTGGTGCAGTGGCAGCGCGTGTCCTCTCGTTTCCAGCCTTTGGCGAGAAAGTCGCGACGCAGTCTGCGCCCCTTCCTTGAGTATCGGGCTGTTGGCTCGCCGGATGTTCCTCCTTTCCTCGCACCCTCGCGGGCGGAGCGTGCAGGGGTGAGCCACGTGCCTTCCCGCAAATGTTGTCCTTGGTCTCTGCGGGTCCGTGGTCGCCATCAGGCTCCAAGAGATCATGCAAGCCGTGCTCTTGCGCAGCGTGTCAAGTCTTCCTGCGTTCGACACGGCTGAGCAGTTGAGTGCGCAAGTCCAGCCTTGCCGCCGCTGACCCAGGATGTTGGAGCCCTGTGGGAAGAATCCTCCTCTTCCTCTTCCTTTTTGACGTTGCACAGACATGGATCGGAGATCGTTGCGTTCTGGGTGCGCAAATAAAGGGTGGTGGGCTAAGGCAACGAGCACACGAATTAAGTCTGGCGGGCGCAACAGGAAACAAAAAGGAAAGGCTACGAGCAGCGAAGAGAGTAGAGGGGACGAGAGGCTATATAGTATGCGCCCGCCAGGCCGCATAGTGGAGTGGGGAAGGACAACGAGCCAGTACCTCAAGAATCACATACAAGGAAGATACCGAACGAGGAGAGGACGAACTACGCGTGCGTTGCGAGAGGAAATAGAGACAGGCAATGCAAAGGGAGTAAGACAGGTTCTCGTCAATCCCATTGTTATTCTCCTCCTCCTCCGTAGGTCGGACCAAAATCGGTCGCCTTGGTGTGTGTTCGGGCAGGGCCGCGCTTTCGAGAGTCGCAGGAATCATCTCTTCCTCGGCGGAAGGCCGGCGGAAGCAAACCGGGGGCGCCTCCGCCAGCGGAACTCCAGCGGAATGCAGTGAGAGTGTTTTCGGGGCTCAAGAGACGGGCGTCAATGCAAGCGGGGGATAGTCAGAGCGCCGGATGTTGCAGGATCCTGCAGGGCCAGGCGTGCACTGACCCAGGTTTGGGCGCAGGATCTTGCAAGATCCTGTAGGATCACGCAGGACCCTGCAAGACCTGACTGACCCGGGTTTGCAGTGATCCGGGCCAGTTCGTTCCCGATAAACATCGCATCCCAAAGAGATGACCAGCTGACCATGTGTGGGAGTATAGATATCCAGAGTGGGCCATGAACGACATGGGGCCTGAGGGAAATGGTTCTCGAGGCTTCTCGTCGTTTCGGGCCCCCCTGGCCCCCCCCCCTGGCCCAAGGATTGCTGAAAGGCTGCTTGGGATGAAAAGCCGGCTGGCAGGAAATACCCCAGGTCCAAAATCGGATTGCTCCCGGACCCGCTTGCTTCCATCCAAGGCGGGGGCGCCGAACAGCGGGGATGCTCAGGGGAGGTGACATCATGGCAGGGGCAGGGGCCCGGGAGTCTCGGGTCTCGTGGCCCCCTCGTCTCCTGTCACTACATGCCCCCTCGCCCGCCCGCCCCCCCCCCCCCCCCCCTGTCGTCCGCGCACGTGCCTCGGGCCACGAGGCGCCAGCCCCCGTCTTCCCAGCCGGCCTCTTCGGCGCATCCGAGCACCTCGGAGGAAGGCGGACGCGGAGGAGGCGGAGGAGGAGGCAAAGGAGCAGGAGAAGGAGGGGGGAGTGAGGACCTGGAGGCTGGAGGAGGGGGCAGGAGGATGATGAGGCAGGAGGGAGGAGGAGGAGGAGGCGGAAGATGGTGATGAGGCGAGGGAGGGGCCATAGTAAGCCCGGGGATACTCCGACGATGTTGTCAGCCCTAAGTCCCTTCCCCGCAAACTCCTACAAGCCTTCCTTTCCACCACAATCAGCGCACCCTTGAAAGACGAGTACTTTGTGGACCCACCATTCACGCGAGAGCCCTGTTTCGATAAGGAACGGCCTTGCCTCGTTCTGTCTAGCGAAGACAATGGATGCGAAAAGGCATGGCCACAAAGTTCAACGAGATGTCCAGCGAATGTCTGGTTTTCAGAAAGAACTGCCCCCCCCCGCCCCATTCCGGCACACGCCTCACACGTTTCGTGATCCTTGAAGGACCTCAACTCCATCGAAGGCCCCAGTGTCAGGGTCCACATGCGCCCCCCCTTCCACTTTCGGCGCACCGTTCACACGTTCCGTGGCCCCATAGGGAGCTCCACCGTAGGCCCCAGTGGCAGGGTCCACTTGCGCCTTCCACGGACCTTTTCGGCGTTACGTGGCCGAGGAGCTTTACAGGTCCGCTATGACACGCGTGTGCGGATATATAATCATCTGCGCACGTGGAAGCGATGGGTGCGATGGGTCGATGTCAGATCTGCAGCGCACTGGTTTTCCCACCCCCTCTCTCCTCCCCCTCCGTGCCTGCTCTGCTGGGATAGGCGGGGAACCGCATTGTGGGCAATCGGCGCACTGGATATGGAAAGAAATCTTGCCCTCCAGGCTCGATGTTTACGCATATCCAGTGCGCCTCGGCCTTGTGGCGCCCCTTCCAAGAGAAGTTCAAGACGCACTGGACATAGACATACATCTTACCCGCGCACATATCACAAATCTGGAAAGCGGGTCCTGGGCCTCCCTTGGATGAGGGTTCGGAGGGAGAGCAGGAGGAGGAAGAATAATAGGAGGAGGAGGAGGAGCAGGAGGAGGAGGAGGAGGAGGAGGAGGAGGAGCAGGAGGGAGAGATTGAGGAAGAGGAGGAGGAGGAGGTCCGCTTGTGAACCCGCGAGGGCGCCTCCTCTTCGAGCACTAGCGACCGACTGATCCCGGCAGAGTGGGAGATGAGGGGGAAGCTGGCGCGGAGGGGGAGGAGAGGGGGGGAGGGGGGAAATTAGGCGCGCTCGTGCCATATCTGATGTTCTACCCTCTACCCTTCCCACCCATCGCTTCCCATTGCGGTGTTTGTTTGCACATCCTCCGACGGGTGCCATAGCGGGCTTGGAACCCCGAAATGACCCCATTGTGTCATGCGCAATCACAAACGAGGAGGAGTTGGCGGATGAACAGGAGGAAGAGGAGGTTGAGAAAGGAGGAGGACGAGAAGGACAAGCAGCAGCAGGAGCAGGCGCGGGAACATCGGTAGGACCAGGGTTGCAAGGGGAAGACGTGGGAGGGCTGCGAGGCGACAACGACGAGCATGCACTCGGACCCAGGAACGTGGCCCGTGCTAGACGAGAGCGCCATCCTCAACGATGGAAGCGACGTGCGATCCTAAAGTCAGGAAGTCAGGCCAGCGCTGCAGCGGGAGCACCATACCGAGACACCGAACACGGTCCGATTCGAAACAAAACCATTGGAACGCCAAGCTGACGACATCCTGTGTGTCAGAAATTGTACAGGAAAGGGGTGCGGTCCACTCTCGGGACGTCGTCGGGGTAGGAGGGAGAGCGGCGCGCAAAGACTGGAGGAGGACGGGCGGAATGAGGGCGACACAGGACAGAGGGCATAGGGAGGGAGGTCCCTGCCAAGGGGCCAGACACTGTCCCCCCACGACGCAAGAGGGCCTGTATTCGCCCATCTACAGTGGCAGGGGGGGGACAGACAGGGCCAGGCTCGAACATCTCGGGTGGGGAGGAGTGGGTTGGAGAAACATGCAGATCTCCTTGCCCGTGGGCGGCCGAAGGCGCTGTGCATTGCATCCGAATGCTATAGCTCATGCCCTTCATCCTCTCAACACCCTTTTATGAGGAAAATCCTGGAGGCCTCGCGCGGAGCGTAATAGTTATATGATCCAGTCCACACGTCAGCTCCGTAAGTTATGGGCCGACGCTCGCGCGGCGATGCTCTGCCGTGCGTCCGACGTAAATCCGACGTAATTCCGACGTGAACCCCACGTCAATCCGACGTAAAGTCGATGCAAATCGGGTCTCAAGTTGCCGCGCGAGGCCCCCAGGATTCTCCTCCTCACCCTTCCTCCCATCACGATACTTGTTCTCCTCGCGGGGAGCCTCAGGGCCGTCGTCGCCCAGCGCGCGTGCAG